TTTATTATTTTATTTAGTATTTGTTTGACCAATTTAATTGGAGTGCATAGGAGAGTGGGTATAAAGTTGTGGTTAAGCATTTTCTTTATTTCCTACTCCTTCCGTTCCAAAAAATACTTCCCACTTTCCTTTTTGGGTTGTTCCCAAAAATACTTCCCACTTTTCCATTTTGAACAATTTGTGTGGCTCACATTCATTTTACCTTTTTCTTACACAATCACAACCATACATTTCCACTTTATTCCACTCTCTTAATAAGCGTGCCAAGTCAAACCGGGAAGAATTTTTAGGAACGGAGGTAGTATTTTCTAGTTGTGCATGTTGCTCACGTAGGATGTTTTGTAAGGCTATATATGCCTCATGTTTCTTTATGAATTAATTAAGATGAAGCATTACTTAGTTTCTCTTATTCTTCTCCCTACAATTCCTTCGTCAATCACATGCTAATTTTTTGATCCATCTCCACTCAAGCACTTATCAATATACACGAAGCATATTTATTTATATTTATTAGCTTCTGATTCTCAACAGAATTTTGGGAAAAGAAGAAAGGAGAAGAAAATGAACAAAGGTGCGGCGGCGGCGTGCAAAGCGGTGGTGGCAGCGGACGAAACAGCTAATGCAACGACGACCATCGATACACAAGAAGAGGTTTGGGGAAAGCAAAACGTCGATAGATCTGTGGCAAAAGCAAAACTTGGGTACGACATCGCAGCAAGGAAGATGGGAGCTCGAGTTAAAGCCATGGTGGAGCAAGGAGGCTCAGTGAACTCATGACCGGAGAAGACGTCGATAGATCTGTGATGCAGCATGAGTGATTAAGGCAGCTAATAATGTGAGGTCCTGAGGAAAAGATACGATGCGAATTGGTTAGGGTTAGGGGCTTATTACGGGGTTGTCAATTTTTTTTTTCCAACTTTAAATGTAGTCATATATTTGTCTCATAAAATTCTAGGAGTAATATTCCAGCCATTATTTCTTCATATTAAACGTATTTGAGTTTGAATTTGCCCTTACAGAAGAGTGGGGAAGAGAAAAGTGAGAGTAAGTGTTGAGAGTATTAAACGAGCATTAATTTGAATTGACCCTAATGTATTCTTATGAACACCATTGCTACTTCGTATTATTTTTGTGCACACTCAGAGTACAAATTATTATTATAGAATCCCTAAAAGTAGGGATTATTCTTATGAATTTCACCTTATATAATTTGCATATGAAGCCGTTAGCACTTGAATTTTCAAAGTTTATATCTAAATTATTATAAAAACAGTAATATATTAAAGGAAGAAAATCACATTCGGTCCCACCAAAAATAAAAATTCTTGTTTCCCGATGACGTGGCACACGTTGAGAGTTTTTTAACCTGTTGTAATTTTTTTATACTTCGATTGTTACAAAAGTATATCAATATTCATAACTTTTTATTAACTTTCATATTACACCAATATTGGATACATAAAATAAAATAATAATTTGGAAATATTGCAGAAATAAATTATAGCCCAAAAGTGCAACCTTTATTTATATATGCACCAATACTGCATATATAAAAAATGTTAAAGTGTTTTATATAACTTTAAGAAATTTCCCAAAATGGGAATAAAATAGTAAGAGCCCGTCTGGTGACATTGTTTTCGGCTTATCAGGCTTCTTAGCCAACTTTTTCACCAAACACATAACTTTTGATTACGTGCGCTGAATTTTATAATAATAAGAAAAAGTAAAGTTAGAGTTACTTTTCCGTCTGTATTGGCTAAAGTTACTGTAGAGGATTATTTTAATTCTTATTTCAAATAATATATTCTTTATATTATTAATAAAATATATTTTAAATATAATTGTTCTCATAAAACAGCGGAATTAGCCAATGCAGTCACTTCAATCATAACTTCGTAAATTTCACCAGAATCAGTCAATATAGCCGATTTGGGTATTACTAAACGGGCTCTAACAAAGTTTCTAACTAGGACAACAAGTTTATTATTCCCTAAAATAAGATTTCCTCTTATACTTTTCCCCTTCACATAATTAAACCCAAAAGCCCTGGTCCATCGATCACAGACATCTATCGCCCTCTCTCCCTCTTCATCAATTGTAGTTGCCTCTCTGTCATCGACAATAGCCGTATCGCTGTTCTGCGATTTCTCTTGTGAAGCCAATTACTTTTCTTCTGCTTCTCCTTTCCTTTTTCTTTGTCTCCTTCTTCTTAAATTCCTCTTCTCCTCTAATCATCTTCTTGTCCTCTGCTTGCTTTCCGTTTCTTTATTTTCTATCAAATCAAAATATCGAATTGAAAATTTAAGATGAAGACTATATTTCAATGAAGAACAATTGATTGGAAATATTTCAATTTGAATATTTATTTATTTATTACTCCCTCCGTCCTGAATTAATTGTCTTGTTTGCTTTTGCCCAAGTTTTAAGAAAGTGGTTAAAAAGGTAAAAGTTGTGGTTGAGATTTGATTAGAAAAGGGTGAATTGATATGAGCCACCCATTATTGCCAAAAGAGGAAACAAGCCAATTATTTTGGGACGAACTGAAAAGGAAAGCAGGACATTTATTTCGGGACGGAGGGAGTATTAATTATAAATTGTCAACCTGCGAGCCAACCGACATATTTGACCGGGTCCAATAACAAACTCACTTCGGAGTGCCACGTAGACCACAAAGCATTTTTTGAGTTTCAAATAATCATGTGTTGAAAAATATCATAGTCAAAGTTGGCTACCATTGATCGAGAAAAGTCAATTTGGCGAACCTTTCCGGGGCGGCAGGAGTAATAGTTTTTATTTTTGGTGGACCAAATGTGCCTTTCTTCTGCTGCTAGTGACATTACGTTCTATCTTTTGCCTAAGCGTTTTTCTTAATCCGAGTTTGGCCCATCATCATTTTTCGGAAATACTTTTAACCCAATCCCAATTGCGTATTATTTTCATTTAGCATTATTTTGGGAAAAAACTCTTTGTTTTGGTTATCGTATATGCATATAGTGCATAGTAGAAGAATTTCTTTAAAGACATTGTTAATATATTAACATATGTAATTAAAATATTAAATGTATAGGCCACAATCCTCACCTTTTTAGCAAATTTGTGTGTGTGTGTGTGTGTTACAATGATAAATGTATACGTATATGAAGGCAATTTGGGCACGACCAATACCTATTGCATAGTCAAAGAAAGAATTTAAAGGCATTTTTATTTTTAATATATTACCATATAATAGTATATTAAAAATTGCGTACGAAAATCAAGCAAGAAAATCCGGTGCAAACTAAATATTATATATTATAATAATAATAATAGTAATAATAATAATAAAAATAAATGTATTCTGAGGCAATCTTAATAATATTGTAAGTTACTTTATTTTCAATGTATGTGAAGGCAATCATTAGAGTAACAATACATGTTCATAGGTTACTTAATATATATGACCACTAATAATTATCATAATAATTAGTACACACAACATTACCAGATGCAAGAACATTGCATGATTTGTATATTTTTGCTTAGTATGTTTTGCCAAAGAGTCAATTAGATCTTCAATGCCGGCCTATTGCATAGTGTTAGAATAATAAATGTATACGAAGGCAATTTGGGCATGCGCAATACCTATTGCATAGTCAAAGAAAGAATTTAAAGACATTGTTAATGTTAATATATTGCCATATAATAGTATATATAAATTGGGTACAAAAATCTGGCAGGAAGATATGAAGCAAACTAGATGTGTCGATATAATAATAATGATAATAATAATAATAATTAAAATAATAACAACAACAACAACAAATGTATACCGAGGAAAACATTAGGGTAATATGTATGGTAAGTTACCTTATTTTCCATTTTCACGAAGGCAATCATTGGGGTAACAATACATGATCCTAAGTTACTTAATATATAGAAGACTAACAATTATTATAATAATTAGTACACATAGCATTACCGAACTCAAGAATATTACATGATTTGTATTCTTGTTCTTAGTATGTTTTGTCATAAAGTCAACTAGATCTTCAATGCATTTATCATTTGACTTTGTATCTCCAAAGATCAAACTCATCCTTCGGGCATTCTCCCGAACTTTCTTTCCCTCCTCACTCTCAAGCATCACGAACCTTACAGAGTCAGCCACCGAGTTACTCGTGAACGACCCATCTTCTTCATCTCTTGGAACTTCAATGCCGACCTGGTTGTCCTCCATAACACGAGCAGTAATCCCTTGGTCAAACAAGAAGGGAAGCATGACTAGAGGGTGACCAAAGGTAATTCCCTCGACGATAGAACTCCAACCACAATGAGTCAAAAACCCGCCGATAGAGACGTGATTCAGTATGCCCTTCTGAGGTGCCCATTCCTTCCACACTACTCCCCGTCCTTCGACCCTGTCTTCGAACCCATCCGGCAAGCCCAATGATGAGTGGTTCCCTCGCGGAGTCCGTAGAGTCCAAAAGAATGGAACCCCGCTCTGTTCCAACCCACGAGCCAACTCAGAGATTTGACCAGGTCCGACAACCACCTCGCTCCCGAGTGCCACGTAGACCACAGAGCATTTTTTGTGTCCATCTAGCCACTGTTTAATTGAAAACCAGGCTTCGTTTTTGTCAAGATCATCAGTAAGATGAACCGTTGGCGGCATTAACCCTGTCGGAAGTACTGGCCGGCCACGGTTAGTCGTCTTCAGCACATTAACCCACTTCGGTTCGAAGTCGTTGCTGTGTCGGGAGATGAGTAGGTCCGAACCTGTCTTCACAGCAATAAGCCTGTCCATATCTGTTTTAGCTTTAGCAGACACATTCGGAGGCGAGCTGAGAATCCATTTTGCCTCGTACCTGTATATAATTGTTATGTAGCATACAAATTAAAAGATCATTAATTATCATATATATACTTCGATCCTCTGTAGCTAGTTTAATTCTGAATATATAACTGTTACCGGCGGAATCGAGCCTTTGTCTCAAAGCTCTTTGGGCGGGCTAAGAAGTCTTCTATCTTCGGCGGTGAGGACATACTCATCATGAATTCGTCGGAGAAGAAAGCCGTGAACCAGGGGCTAGTGGTGATGAAGAAACACCGAGAAATCCCGAGCCTGGCAGCAACAGGCGGGAGCCAGTACTGGGCGACATCGAAGATGATCCAATCAGGGGATGTTCTCTCCAAGAAACGAGTCACCTCTATTTCCATGCCATCCATGGCTTCTTTGAGGTAAGGCATCTCCTCCTGTTGAATGTCCATTGTGGCCTCCGCGTTCGCCGACGACAGCCCATCGACGCGAGGGAGCGGGATCTTGACCATGGTTATGGAGGATGCGAGGTCGGGTGGGGGGAGAGGAAGGCGATCTATGTTTCGAGGAGTGGAAATGAAGGAGATTTTGTGACCCTTTGCTGCTATGGACTTGGAGAGCTCCAGGAATGGGGTCATGTGCCCAAAAGCAAGCCATGGAAACACAACTATATGAAGCTCTTTCTTCTTCTGCTGCTGCTGGTTGGAGGCCATGTTTTAGTCACAGTTGTGGTTCGTTTGCATTGTCACGGAGACTTCTTATAGCAGAGCTTGGCCTCGTCCACGTCAGTGCTCACGTTGCATGCACCGTCTCTACATTCTCAAGGATACAATTACGCAAATTAAAGATCAAGTCATTCCGTTTTTAAAGCATCTTTAACTTTAGCTTCTTCATGTAGAGGGCCGGTCGTAAGGAAATGAAGGCCATGTGCAACAAAAATAATTAGGTCTTCTTTTCAAAATTTCAATACAAGTTAAAAAATCCGAACTGAAACCGCACCGACTCAAACGAGACCCGAAAGTCGGGACTCAAACGATGAAATTTTTAAATCCATCAAAAAAGCAGGATATTTTTTAACACATAATTATTTGGAACTTAAAAAATGCTTCGTGGTCTACGTGGTCTACGTGCACTTCGTGGTCTACGTGCACTCCGCAGGTTGAAATTTTAAAATTAATACTCCCTCCGTCCCGAAATAAATGTCCTGCTTTCCTTTTCAGTCCGTCCCAAAATAATTGTCTTGTTTCCTCCTTTGGCAATAATGGGTGGCTCATATCAATTCACCTTTTTCTACTCAAATCTCAACCACAACTTTTACCTTTTCAACCACTTTCCTAAAACTTGTGCAAAAGCAAACAAGACAATTAATTCGGGACAGAGGGAGTAATAAATAAATAAATATTCAAATTTGTTGGATTAATGGCCTTCCAGGGCCGGCCCATCAACCCCTGAAGCCCAAGGGCCAAGGGACGTACGTGGCCCACCACAGCCAGGCCTCAAGGTCCAAGGGTCAGGGGACGACGTACGTAGCCCAGCATAGCCAGGTCTCAGGGTCCAAGGGCCAGGGGACGTACGTAGCCCAGCATGGCCAGGCCTCAGGGTCCAAGGGTTAGGGGACGCACGTAGCCCACCATAGCCAGGCCTCAAGGTCCAGGAGTTAGGGGACGCACGTAGCCCACCATAGCCAGGCCTCAAGGTCCAAGGGCCTGGGGATGGACGTCTTGTGGGCTATACTTAAAGGTCCAGGTTGCCATCAAAGAAATGAGTTCAGTTTAGGGGACGGACGTCCCCCGCGTTATGGCGGGAAACCAAGATCTTGGCGGGAAGCGCATTTAATGCTGAAGATTTGGTGGTTGGAATCATGTCGCCCACAGCCGGCCACGTCAACCCCCCAACCACCAAGGTGTACTATAAATAGCCGCATTTATTTCATTGTAAGGGGTTCGCACATCGTTACTCTAGAGTTGTAATAGCGTCAGCAGTACGTACCTTATTTTCAGTACGTTCGGCCTTTCAGCTTGTAATCATTATATTGAAGGAAACAGTCATTTAATCCATCCCCGTTGATTTAGTTGAGTTCATTTGCTTTCCACCCATTCGAAACCCCAGGTTACGTGTTGGGCCTGCGGGTTGAGAGGAATAAACCTCAACACGGGCGCCGTCTGTGGGAAACTGATCATAAAGCTCTTTTTCCAAGCTCTCCATTTAAAACTTCTAAGACCACAAAAAAGCAAACAAAATGAACACTAACAACGCAGACAATTCTCAAGATCTATCATCACGACTGGCTCACAGCACGAGGAGCCGTAACCAGGCGGTAGGGGCCCAATCCACTAGTTTATGGAGCCGAGGGGACTTCGGGATGCTCACCGACCTGATCCCACAAGAACTCCGCAGGGACCCCCACGCACTGCGAGATATCGCGGATACTATCCGCCGACTGGCGGATCAACGGGAGGAAGAGCACGTGTACACCGCCAATACTGAGCGCACCCCGCTCTCACCCGTCCGTCCCATGCAGTCCTTCACCGAACACACTGGCGAGAATAGCAATCCCCGCCGTTCGGTCCATTCCAGAATAACCCAGAACACCCGCCCTCCGGGTAGGGGGGGCGTCACAGGGGCTAGGCCCTTCAGAGGAGCACAACGCCACACGTTTCAGGACCCCACGCCGGTCATGCCCCGCGGAGGAGGAACGGCTAGGGAGCATACCCCCGTACTGAGCGGCATGGCGGCGGAGACCCGACTGCACTTTGGCCAGCACAATCAGGGCCTTGTACCAAGAGGAGACGTTTTGGCAGTAGTAGCCCCCGCGCCTGTTGGGACTGATCCACGGGATGCCATGCTCCTGGATATGCAGAGGCAAATAAATGAGCTGAATCGCCGGACGGAGAACGCTCAGGCCCAGCCCAGGATTGCTCTTTCACCACCCTTCACCGACAGAGTTATGGCGGTGGACATTGCGCGGGACGTTCGGCCCCCTGGAACATTAACTTATGACGGAGCCGGGGACCCCAAAGCCCATCTATTGTCTTATCAAGGGACGCTCTCCATGTTGGGAACCTCCGATGAGGCTGTGTGCAGGCTTTTCTTCAGCACCCTTAAAGGGCCAGCACAGGAGTGGTTTGGGCAGCTCAAGCCCAGATCTATCGACAACTTTGAACAACTCTCCCGGCAGTTCATGGCTCAGTTCGCCTCCAGCTCCACGCCAAAGAAACACTTCAGTTGGCTGACGAACGTCCACCAGAATAAGGGGGGATCCATATCTGCCTTCATGATCAGGTGGAGGGATGAGACATTGAAGGTGGAAGATCTCCCGGAGAGCACCGGCATCACCCTCTTCACCAATGCACTGGCAACCGGGGACCTCTATCTGGATTTAAAGAGGAACCCCGAGAACAACTACGCCGAGGTGCTGGCCCGAGCACACAAATTCGCGGCAATAGAGGAGGAGGTCTCACAGCGGGACGGAGCATCAAACCAGCGCCTGAAGACAAGTTTTAGAACTCGATAAGATCTTTCCAACGAGACATTAAACGCTTTCAACGGCACTAAATAGAACAAGATATGATTGCATCAAATTCTACACGAGTTCGGAGTGAAATCAGAAACATTTGTGAATATATGGTTAATCTGTAACTTTTAATTAATGCAGTGTAAATGAAGTTGGAAAAATAACCAACTAAATCAACGGGGATGGATTAAATGACTGTTTCCTTCAATATAGTGATTACAAGCCGAAAGGCCGAACGTACTGAAAATAAGGTACGTACTGCTGACGCTATTACAACTCTAGAGTAACGATGTGCGAACCCCTTACAATGAAATAAATGAGGCTATTTATAGTACACCTTGGTGGTTGGGGGGTTGACGTGGCCGGCTGTGGGCGACATGATTCCAACCACCAAATCTTCAGCATTAAATGCGCTTCCCGCCAAGATCTTGGTTTCCCGCCATAACGCGGGGGACGTCCGTCCCCTAAACTGAACTCATTTCTTTGATGGCAACCTGGACGTTTAAGTATAGCCCACAAGACGTCCATCCCCAGGCCCTTGGACCTTGAGGCCTGGCTATGGTGGGCTACGTGCGTCCCCTAACTCCTGGACCTTGAGGCCTGGCTATGGTGGGCTACGTGCGTCCCCTAACCCTTGGACCCTGAGGCCTGGCCATGCTGGGCTACGTACGTCCCCTGGCCCTTGGACCCTGAGGCCTGGCTATGCTGGGCTACGTACGTCCCCTGACCCTTGGACCTTGAGGCCTGGCTGTGGTGGGCCACGTACGTCCCTTGGCCCTTGGGCTTCAGGGGTTGATGGGCCGGCCTTGGAAGGCCATTAATCCAACAAATTTGAATATTTATTTATTTATTACTCCCTCTGTCCCGAATTAATTGTCTTGTTTGCTTTTGCACAAGTTTTAGGAAAGTGGTTGAAAAGGTAAAAGTTGTTGTTGAGATTTGAGTAGAAAAAGGTGAATTGATATGAGCCACCCATTATTTCCAAAGGAGGAAACAAGACAATTATTTTGGGACGGATTGAAAAGGAAAGCAGGACATTTATTTCGGGACGGAGGGAGTATTAATTTTAAAATTTCAACCTGCGAGCCAACCGACATATTTGACCGGGTCCAATAACAAACTCACTTCGGAGTGCCACGTAGACCACGAAGCATTTTTTAAGTTCCAAATAATTATGTGTTAAAAAATATCATAGTCAAAGTTGGCTACCATTGACCGAGAAAAGTCAATTTGGTGAACCTTTCCGGAGCGGCAGGAGTAATAGTTTTTATTTTTGGTGGACCAAATGTGCCTTTCTTCTACTGCTAGTGACATTACGTTCTATCTTTTGCCTAAGCGTTTTTCTTAATCCGAGTTTGGCCCATCATTATTTTTCGGAAACACTTTTAACCCAATCCCAATTTCGTATTATTTTCATTTAGCATTATTTTGGGAAAAAACTCTTTGTTTTGGTTATCGTATATGCATATAGTGCATAGTAGAAGAATTTCCTTAAAGACATTATTAATATATTAACATATGTAATTAAAATATTAAATGTATAGGCCACAATCCTCACCTTTTTAGCAAATGTGTGTGTGTGTTACAATGATAAATGTATATATGAAGGCAATTTGGGCACGACCAATACCTATGGCATAGTCAAAGAAAGAATTTAAAGGCATTTTTATTTTTAATATATTACCATATAATAGTATATTAAAAATTGCGTACGAAAATCAAGCAAGAAAATCCGGTGCAAACTAAATATTATATATTACAATAATAATAGTAATAATAATAATAATAATAAATGTATTCTGAGGCAATCTTAATAATATTGTAAGTTACTTTATTTTCAATGTATGTGAAGGCAATCATTAGAGTAACAATACATGTTCATAGGTTACTTAATATATATGACCACTAATAATTTTCATAATAATTAGTACACACAACATTACCAGATGCAAGAACATTGCATGATTTGTATATTTTTGCTTAGTATGTTTTGCCAAAGAGTCAATTAGATCTTCAATGCCAGCCTATTGCATAGTGTTAGAATAATAAATGTATACGAAGGCTATTTTGGCATGTGCAACACCTATTGCATAGTCAAAGAAAGAATTTAAAGACATTGTTAATGTTAATATATTGCCATATAATAGTATATATAAATTGGGTACAAAAATCTGGCAGGAAGATATGAAGCAAACTAGATGTGTCGATATAATAATAATAATAA